ATCTGCCGCCGCTTTTATGAGGGTGCTCAGGCTCAAGCTCACTGAGTAGACGTCAGCACGGGCTCAGATCAGTGATCATGCTCAGATCAGTGATCATGCTCAGATCAGTCACGTGCAGAATGACTGATGCTCAGTGAGTGCTCAGTGAGTGCTCATTGGGTGCTCCCTGATTACTCAGTGATGCTCAGTGTCCAATCAGTGAGCAACACTGATGCACTCAGCCCACTGCAGACTATACCCAGAAGGGATTAGCCCCCACAGGGTCGTCTATACTGTGATAGTTAGTTCGTTGATAGCATTGTTGCTGCCCTCAATTTTTGGAGTACTACATCTTATCAAGGAGATACGTCATGACCAAAGGGTGCAGGACGGAGTGGAGAACCCATCCGTTTCATGATGTTGCTCATATCTTTCTTCTTCAGAGCGGCTCGAGCTCAAGATCTCAGATGTAAAAGCAAACCGCATGGCGGCATCAGCATGTAATAATCAACAAATCTTCTGTCCAAGCGTCTTTTGCATTGATTATGGGCCGAAAGGATTTTTTTGCTAAGCGCGATGAACTCGCGAAAGAGAGGCGTCGTCTACAGCGGGAAAAGAATGGTTATGCCCCTGGAACCCATAAAGAGGAGGACTCAATTCGGGAGAAAGACAAAAGGCTCCCCAAAACCAACGAATTACACCGAGAAACTATGAGCCTTTGGCTCGAGTGAGTTATGCAGCATCTGAGTGGCAATCCTTTCCTATTCACGCGTTCTGACTTTCCTTTAGGTTCACTGCAGACCCGGAGAATGGGTACGAATATTATAAAACTTCCCTCGGTTCTTCTGCTCCAACACATGAGATGATCAAAGCGTACATTCGCTGGTACGCAAATTCTATTCAAGGGCGACTGAATGACGATGGTCTACCCACGGTGAGAACCGTGAGTGCGCATGCCGAGAAATTCTTTGGTGGATTTGAACAATTCACAAGAACCAAAATCGTCCCAGACGATCGAAAGGAAATAAAAATGGTTGGTTCATTCATAACTTCCCCTCTGAGATCATCTTAAACTCACCTGGATGTAGTGGATCAAAAAAACTTTGACCGCAGATGGCGTCGTTGTAGATCAAAAGAAAGAGAAACTCAACTTCACAAAGCAAGATTTTTTGAGAACAGTCTCATCTTTGTGGCAGACTGACCACCAAACATTCATTCCGGGACTGCTCAAAGTTGTCATCTTATTTGCTCTCCAGCTGTATCTCTTTACTGGAGCAAGAGTCGGAGCTTTCATACCCTCTAGTGAGGACAAACATGAAAGAGGTCTTCGATACGAAGTAAGGCGTCTTTACTCCAGCGGTATGATACAACATTAATCTTTATTCTAGCATATCAAGTTGGTTCTATTTCCTTCATCCACAGGTCGTTGGGCGGTGGGTTGGAAGGTAGATCAGAAGTGGCTCAAAAATCGTCGATGTGAAAAATACACAGTGTGAGTTAGAAGGAAATAGTGGTATGTTTATCGAATATACGGGACTTCACTAATTGGTGCTTCTAGATTCGGAATTGGCATTCGGGACAGCAACAGGCCGCAATTTGCGTCGGGCTACCTTCTTCTCTCCCTCGCATTAGCACACGGTGCTATTTATGGGGTGGATAATGTGGATGATCTGGCGCAGTTTGATCTTTCAAATGGCGAGATTCGGTTGCGATGGAAGGAAGAGTACTTGAATAAACCAGTTCTCAGACATGCCACGGCAGACGGACCTCAGGAGACACCTCTGACGAAACAAAAATTTTGTTCTTGCCTGCGTCAAATTTTTACTGCTGCAGGGTACTTTGGTGAATTAGCAACGATCCATTGTATACGACGAAACCTTGGGAAAAAAGTCGAAAGTAAGCCCCCTATACCACACAAACACAATAGACACAAGAGAGAGATCTTATTACTAAGTTTTATCACAGAGAGAAACGGCTCTGCACCTGTCAGTCATATACTAGCACATCGGGGGCTAAACACTTTTCCGGAGCATTATCAAGCCCACTGTTCTTCCATAGATACAGTGGGAGCTGTTCTAGATGAGGAAGACCAGTCTGACCATATCGAGTACTTCCAAGGTTATGTTCAATATTACGAACGTGGCTTGCCAGGTGAGTTGCCAGCAGAGATCAAAGAGAGTATTTTGGAAAAACCAGATATGGTGGAAATGAGAGCCCAGATCGATTCATTCGCACAGAACCACGACGAAAATAGCCTCAAGAACAAGAAGTTGGAATACAGAAAGGCGCTCGTTCGACGTCGCCTTTTCGAACTCAGGCAATATCAAATTCGGTGGGCACAGGAGAAGAGAGACCGGAAAGTTATCAATCGAGGAAAAGAAGAGCCAGCCCATTCGGAAAATGACATTCGCGCACGCGCTCAAATGCTGATTATGCCCGAGGTTGCGCGAATCGCAACAGCCATGTCCTCCACCAAAGAGCTTTCCTTTGACGAAAAACTTATCTTTGTCGAAGATCTACAGACGCAGTGTCTCCGTGATTTTGACGTGGTATATCTCCCAAACGAAAGCCCAGCACAAGGCCTCTGTCCTGTAAAAGGTTGCCAAATCAATATTGCAAGGTGAGCTCCCCGACCTAATGATAACCTGGCGGATACTAACTCTGCTAGCCTGAGAAAATGTGACAGAAGTGCTCATATTCACGGATGTATTCGGCGTGAGAAAGCATTTGGCCTTCAAATATCAGAGTCAGAGATGCAGTTTTGCTATGAATGCATGGACTGGTGTTTGTCGAGTCAATGGCGGGATCATTGTGATACCCATCTCCAGTCCTGGAAAGCCCAGCACTGCGAAGTAATTATCTATCGTCATACCGTCATCCGTCCCGGCTACTGCCCCTTCTGTTTGTGGGACCCCGATCTCTCTGCAGAAAAGCGTTTGCGATACTGGCTGCGAAGTGACAATCTGAGGGAACACATTGAGGGGAAGCACTTGGCTAAAATCGGGCATTGTCAGACAAAGCCAATATGCGGATGCTCCCAAAGCTTCCACAATGAGCGTGGCCTCCGACTTCACTTGCACGATGCGCATGGGCTCAAGGAAACCATATGGCAAAATCCACAGCTACCCAGTAAGAGAAAGCGCACTTGCAAGTTGGAAGCCCAAATATCTTCAACAGGTCGACAAGAGGGACATTCTAAGAAAGCTCGATTTTACCATTACTCACATCCAAGTCATGAGCGTGAGGACTGTGTGCCAGAAGAGTCTTCTTTCCCCGTCCCGGCCTTGCTCCCGTCTGTTGAAGGGAATCTGGAACAATACTCAGGGCAAAGTATTTGTGACAAATATAGCGTCAGCAATAGGAGCAACTCAGTGGAACCATGCTTCTCGGAGTTAGTTTCCTCACCCAGCTCAGGGCCAACAACTCCTGGCCTTGAGGCCATTGATCCTCGAATCCTCGAGCCGCCTAAATTCAACAGTGATAATGCACGCCAAGATTGTGATCAAGCTGCCATCCAGCCGGAATCACTCATTTCCCCACATGAAGAGTGTGAGGCAACTTCCGTCAGTGGCATAAAACAGCCGCAACATCCCGCTCTAAGCTTTGCCAGTCAGCCTTCTGGATACTGTGCTGTCACTGAAGCCAATGAGGAGAGGAAAAATTTGCAAGAACATCTCGCCTCTTTGCCTACTCGTGATCAAGCTGTTACCGCAGAATTTGGCTGTGACAGTAATCTACCTACACGGGAAGATGGCAAGCAAAATCTGCCTTGTGGTGACCAAGTCCCTCCCAGCAGCCCTCGCAGACCCCTCACTAGAGCCAAGGCACAAACCCAGTCGCCTCAGCATTATCCAGGTGGTCTGGATGGCTACAACCCCCCCAAGAGGCTTAACGCAAAGAACAAACGGAAGTTGCGCGACCTACAGAGGAAGAATTTGACCCTGAGACAGATTGGGCCTCATTTCGCGGATGTTGATATGGCGTTACTGCGACAGGCATGGATGGAATTGAAGCCTTCTCAGAGATGCACTAGGTCTCGGGCTAATTGGAACGGTAACTAAATTATTTCTTCAGTCAATAATATTTACATGTGCTGGAATTTTACTTTGTCTGTACAAATTTGCTATCAGCCGATAGTCCGACCCTCTGCCGACCTTCAAACCCTAGACTCCTTGTCGCACTATTGGAACTTTTTGGCTGTGCGAGAATAAGGGATCATTTTATTAATGGATCGCTCAGATGCCTGCTAAACTACACTTGTCTACAAGGAGTAAAGGAGTAAATTTGGTACGTTAAACTCAAGGGGCAAAACCCTACACTGTAAGCGCAGCAAATCTGAAGCATGATAAGCGTCTTTTTAGGCGGGCTCGCGGATACACCTTTATATTATAATCGATTCATTTCCAGTGGCATTTTATTAGATCTATCCGGAACATAGCGTTACTGGGCAAAGAGGACCGTTTGGGGCTAACAACTCTTGGCCGTTCTTGCGAAAACTTAGTACAGCCAGCTTGTTACAATGAAACAAATAGTTACATTACAGTTACATGGTCCGCACCGCCACAGATGAGGAAGAGAACTTACAGTGACTGTTCATAAGTTTTAACACCCCCTTTGGCCCCCACCCATATACCGCCTGCCTTTATCGCCTATACCGCCTACATAAGGTGAACTGGTAGACCTCATATCTCTCGAGTTCAAGTCACATTCCTTGATATTTTGATATATTTCCCTAGTATGATGCCTAGCCTTGTGTAGACAATCATTAAAAGCCAGAGATATTAATGTACAACGATATTTCAGAAAATATTCTGACCGGCAGAATATTATATAATCAAGATGGTGTGTTTAAACTTATGAACAGTCACTGTAGTAAGTAATTATGAAGAGGTAATGTAACGTACCATGTATGTTTTGATATGTATTTCTTCTGAGAGATCTGCTATTTCAATCATCCTTGTAACTTCTCAATGGTGTTATACATATGAGCATAAAATAGCCTTATAAAGAAAACGTTGCCTAGATCAAACCTCATAGCACTCATGTCGAAAGCAACCTTCAACTTCAGTCACTTGTTTAAAACAGAATTCCAAATTCTATGGTTGGTCTGCGGACAAAATCCTTGAAAAAAGGGTGGGTCGACCGACCTACCAATTTGACGTGGTTACGTAGAAACTTGCTCGTCCTAGGATGACAACATACACTGCCAGGAGGCTACTGTGCGGCCCCAGGAACTTATTGGCACCCAGGAACTTCACTGGGTGCTCCCGGAGACGGCCTTCTTGTCCAACCTGAAGGTGGTGGGGTTAATACTCCAGAATTCGGAACAGATGAATTCAGCGCAGGGATTATTGCTGGTCGGGTTAATCTCTGTGAAACATGACCCTGTGAAGCAAGTTAAAGGTGCACTCAGTCGAGCACGCTATCCAGGCGAATTGAAACTTCTTGTCTAAATTAAAAGCCTTACTACTGAATGAATTTCTACTCTTATCGTTCCAATAATAATTTTCCATACATTCCCTCGGCTAGTTATGACGAGCAAATTCGAGTAGGCAATCGATTGAAGCATTGTATTTAAGGAAACTCAGGGATTTAGAGGTCGTACAGGCCACGCCTATTTGTACAGTATCACGGGAAGGGTGTCCAAAGATATTCTCATTGGCAATTTGTTTGGTAGCCTAGGATTATATCCTCAGATATCTTTTACGTCAAGTGATTTCATAGCTTCTTGCCCAGGACGTGTTAAAGTCTCCATTCAGTTTCCGAGTTATGTCCGAAATCGCTCGGCCACAGAGCCTGAACCTCATCGAGGACGTCCTCGGTGACATCTTCCCATTTTCTGTTCATATGTTCCACCATGTCGGCATCTACAATGTCGAACTTGTGGCCAGCCTAGACTCCCTTGGCCAGATATGCTCCGCCCGTAATGCCTGTTGAACTATCCGACGACCAACAGATACTCATCAGAACTATGTGGCCAATGGTGATTCCAAATGGAAACGCGTCCTCAAAGAAATATTCAGCGGTAGTTAAATTCCTCAGGACTCGACTTTTGGGATTGGAAGGTTTTTCCATGACCGTGAGAGTCGCTGCTTTCTCTTCTTCGTAAGACCAAAATCCAAAAGTTTTCTCAACGACATCGTAGCGGAGGGGCTCGGATGTTGCACCGCTCACAGCGGAACTCAGGTGGAACTTGTCTTGTTGAATCGTGGCGGGGAGGTCGTCTGGATTTAAGTAATCCCCAATACAGATGAGCCGAGTGCCAGCCCACTCGTTTTCAATCAAGTCATGCAGTATGTTGGACCACGACGAAAAGAGCAACTCTGATACAGGATGGATCGAAATCAGTTTCACCACCTACACACACGGATTTCTTCCAGAACGCTCTTTCGAAACACGCTAATCTCTATTTGACCTAGCTCAAATTCACTGGCCGAAATGTATTGAAAGATTATACCCCACGTGACATCCATCCATTGAAAATGACAGAAATAGACGGGTACGGCAATGTATGGGTCAAAATGACATATGTAAAATTCTCTAACTAACTAAAATGTAAAATCCGCCCTTTTTCCAATCTCTGCGGACATCGCTGATTAATCAATACATATATTTTTGTATGGTACCGTTGTCATGGCGGCCCATTGATTTTCCGGGTTGTATTTTCTGGTAAACTCCACCATGTGTAATGCTCGACAGAAAACACTGCCACCCTGTGGCCTCTTTCATAATTCGTCTCAAATTTCAAACGACCTGAAAAATGCTTATAGCATGATGGAAAATTCCATCTCAGAATTACAGGTGGGATCGAAATCAATTGGCGAGAGCCTCTTTCGGGCAGCCACTCAGAATCTTCATATCACTAAAACCATGTCTTACTCAGTAAGAAAGAGCAGAAGATATTCATGTGTCTACCACTGTAACCTTACCGGGAAAGAATTCCATAATGTAGCGTGGTATCCTATTGCCAATTGCAATATTTTGTTCTGTCATTGCGAACTTCAAGCCACTTGCAAATCAGGCACAAAGAAAGTCGGCCAAAGAATGCTGCATGCATGGGTGTAATATAGTTACATTCAGTCTTGTGGTTGGAATGGGCTTGAATGCAGTGACCAAATGATGATGAATAAAAGGATCCTTAATTCTCGCCAGGCTCACCACAGCATCTAAATCAATTCAATCCCCTCAGACCTGCCTTTTTTTCTTTTCTCTCATCCTCAACATCGGCAAGGAAAATGACGAGGGAACGTGCTATAGATCTTACAGGGGCAGACGGGCTGGACAATGAGAAGCGAGTAAGGCTCTTAGGGGTCATTGACCGACTTCGAGAACTAGGCATCAGTGAGAATGTCTCTCTTCCCCAGGTAAGTGAATATATCAGATCCGCCCATGGACTCTACTGATCAATTGTAGCTCGTTGTAAATGGCGATCAATCGAGCGGCAAGTCGTCCCTTCTAGAAGGTTTGACGGGTCTTTCGTTTCCTGTGGCCAGTGACCTCTGTACAAGATTCGCCACTCAAATCGTTTATCGTCGATCCCCAGAAGGGGAGGGTCAGGCCAGGATTACAATCATCCCAGGACCAACTTCCCGACTCGATGAAACCTTGAATCAAAATCTTCTCGCCTTCGAAAAAACCCTCGCCGCTGCAGACTTCGGATGCCAAGAGTTCGAAGACATATTCGATGAGGTCAGGATCTCATTTTCCTGGCATTTTAGAACCCCTGTTGATATCATGATAGGCTGCTTGCTGCATGGGCATACCGGGACCCAAGGCGAAGAATTTGGAAGATGTCGAAAAAAGATTCTCAGATGATATACTCAAGATTGAGCTCTCAGGTCCAGATCATCGGAATCTCAGTGTTGTGGATGTTCCGGGTCTCTTCCACAGTGAGAAGACCCTGTATTATTTTGATGACGTTGCTAATCTCGAAACAAGATCCGACAAAGTTTCAAACCGAAGAGGAACGTGCCATTATCCGGAAATTAATCGAGGATTATATGACTGACAAGCGTACCATCATCCTGTAAGTGAATACCTGTCAGAGGGTCATGGAAGAATTGTAGGGCTTACATATCGTCAGCGCAGTTATGGATGCACGTAATAATCTTGCCAACCAGGAAGTGTAAGGAAGGTGCTCCCGGTTCGGTGTTGAAGGTGCTCACTTATACTAGGTTTTCAATGGCACGTGCTGCTGACCCAGCAGGTAAACGTACTGTTGGAATCGTCACCAAATGCGATGCTCTGCAGGCAGGAGATGAAGCTGGTGTAAGTGTTTAATTATATCGATCTGAACGCATACTGAAAACGCATCAGGTGTTGCGCATCGCTAAAAATGAGGTCGAGCGTCTCACTCACGGATGGTTTGCTGTACGAAACCGCTCCACAAAGGAAATTCAAGAGGGTGTAACTATCAAGGGCCGACATCGAAAGGAAAAAGAGTCTTTCTCAACGGTGCATCCTTGGACAGAACTCAAGAAAGATCGAGTTGGTATCAACGCCTTGAAGTCCTTTCTGGGCCATCTTCTATACGACCACATTCGCTCTGAATTTCCTGCTGTCGTGGCAGATATCGAAAAGCTTTCTTTGGAGACTCAGAAAGAGCTGGAGATCCTCGGACCTTCTCGCCAAACCCCTGCAGAACAGAGAAGGTTCTTGACACGCCTGGCATCAAGTTATCAAAATGAAGTTGATAGAGCATTGAACGGGAATTATAGTGCCGACTTGGAAGCACAAAGCCCGCTCAAGCTTCGTATGCACCTGCGGCAGCATGCAGATGATTTTGCTAGATCAATGGCTACAGGGGATCATGCCAAAGTTTTTCGTACAATTCAAAATGAAAGCGACCCGGAATTCAGCAGACTAGCAGGTGACTTGGAAAATATATACGACTGGATACGACGTTACTACCTCGAGTCGCGCGGCTCTGAACTACCTGGCACTGTCAACCCTGTTGTGCTCCAGAATATGTTTCGCCAACAATCCAGTCCGTGGGCGAATATTGCGAGTATGTATCTCGAAGAAACTGCCTCTGCAGTGCACTCCTTTAACCAATAGGTTTTGGCAAAAATCATCCCCGACAACGATGTGAGAGAAAATAGAAAGGGTTCTATCTCCACCCGCAGAGGAGACATACCGCCAGGCCCACGACCGGCTGCTGATGATAGTGAATGACGAACGAGGAGGAATCCTTCAGACTGTGAACCACTATTTCGCTGACACTTTATCCTCGATCCGCCAGGAAAGAGTCATAGCCAGATTTGAAGGTCTCGGGCTCGAAGACGGCGAAACGACGTGTTATCCATGGCTGCACGGTTGAGAGAGAGAGGCATTGGACATTGCAAAACGCGCTGTGCTATGACTTCAGGTATGCTGAGTGGTATTTAGTAGTTGGGGAGCCTCTGAGCAACATGTAAATTTCCCCAATAGCGCGGCTGACTCAACATCTCGTGTGTAATTCTTCTGGGCATGGTTTTTTCCCACTGGGTTTTCCTATCCACCAGCGCGAATGCGAGAAGAATCTTTTCTTTTTTGTTCCTGTTGCGCCTGCGCTTGCCTATTCACGCGGTTTACGTGTTTCGATATATTTATGTTTATTTGAGGTTTTCTATAATCATCTCGATAAAGTGGAATTTCACAGGGTGGACTACTACGCTACGCCTGGAAAATAACCTATGGCTTAAAAACCCCTCAAATCAATTCGACCGCCGATAATTAGCCAAAGCATTTCCGATATCCATTGATTTCAAGTGTCGATCATTATGAGAACCAAAAAGTTACGTGGCTCGCGGTTTCTTCGATTGCCTCAAAAGAGAAGCCCCCAGCTTTGAGAGGAGTCACCGTACCATTTATCTATCGGATTACAAAAGGAACGTTCTAGAAACAACCCAGACTATTCAAAGTTAATACACAGGCTATTTTTGTTTTGTCATTTGTAACTGTTTTGAATTACCGCCAAGACAGGGGCTAAGGGGAAGAGTAGCTGTAATAAGTATAGCGTGTTTCAAGAGAGGGTTCGAGATAGATTCTCCGTGTGCAAGTGGTGAAACTAATTTCGATCCATCCTGTAACTTGCCACCAAATGACTGTGTTGTGTACTCGCGTTTGGACGGGCAAACCACCAGCCAGTATTGGCCCATTGTTTGTTTCTTGAACGAAAATGATAGGATAGAATCCGTGGAAGTGGGAGCCGTTAACAGATTAGAGCAAAGTTGAATGCTCGAGAAATGCTAATATTGGATGTACAGTGCGTCTCGAAACCGGTGCAACAAGAACACTCTTAGACACTCTTTTTGGCCCCACTGCCAAGACCTTAGCGCAGCAGGTTGTTCTAATACCTTGGATAGCAGGTAAAATTGATAGTTATTGTGCTGCTGATGTGCTATTGCGGCAGATCAAAACTCAGTGTGGTGGCAACCTCAATAGATGATCTGCGCTATAGTCTTGGCAGTGGGGCCAAAAAGAGTGTCTAAGAGTGTTCTTGTTGCACCGGTTTCGAGACGCACTGTAACTGGAAGATGGTACACTTGTGGGTTGGAGGAACTTGTAATATGGCTGGCGAGGCGCTTGACCTTTGTATGTTGGTCACGATGGCGCCACTTGGCCCTGAGACAAGAAACAGAGATCGTAGGAGTTAGGTGACTCGGTTTTCGTATGTCCGTCATATTAGAGTCTCAGGTACGATGCATAACTCCCAGGAATCGGTGAGTGTTCCCTGGGAACACCATAGCCGTCTCCCGGGATTCTTAGGGCTCCTAGAAACCAGTCGCAGGGTCCCAGGAGCAAGTAGCACGATCCTAAGAGCTGGTGACTCAACACTTTTAGGTAACTCCGTGTCGGTGATATCGTTATTTAGTGCACTTACTGCGATAATATGCCCTCAAAAATAGTTAAATAGAAGCCAGCACCACAAAGAAATGCGCCTCCCAAGCTCCTCCGCCAACCACTAGCGGTGGCAAACTTGATCTCTAAATTATTACTCTGAGCCCTCCTTTTATTATTATCTGCATAGGTAGTCGTTACCTATACGTTCACGCAATCTGCCGAAATGCCGCTTTTAGGACTTCCACTAGAACTACTTCTGTGGATTGGCAAGTCCATCGACAAGAAAGACCTTCGAAGTCTGTGTCTCACATCCCGAAAATCCTACGTCGTCTTCAGTAAGAGCCTCATGGATTGCATAGCCTTTAAAGACACCCCGCCAGATCATTGGGCAATCGAACATAGAAGCTTAGGCATCGTCCAACACTTTCTGGGTTGGGAAAAGGCAGATGTCAACCCAAAATTTTCTGGCCTTACACCACTCATGTTGGCTACAAAGCTGCGGTACTCAGAAGCTGTTGATTTGCTCTTAAGCCATCATTCAGTGAATGTCATACAGCGTAATACTTTGGGAGAAAGTGCCTTCTCGATCGCTGTTCTGCATGGAAGCGTCAGTATTATCGAACGGCTCCTCAATGTACCGAACATTGATCTCAATAACCAATCACTGGACGGGATTGCGCCCATTTCAATTGCGTTGACCTGTCACCAAACTTATGTCTTCCACCTTCTTTTGTCTGATGAGCGAACAAATGTCAACATCTGCGACCATCATGGCCAAACACCACTAGCGACAGAAATTGGCGACTATGGAGCAATCCAAATGCTTGTACGAAATCCTCGAGTTGACGTCAACTGTTTCAACCGTCGACAGGAAACTCCGTTGCTTCTGGCTGTCAAAGGACACGGCCGTTTCCTCCCCATCAAAAAAAGGCTGCTTGTCATTGAAGCCTTGCTTTTGAGTCCATGTATCAACCTTAATTACCAAGATGGGAATGGACGCACTGAAATATGGTATGCGGTGAGCAATTCCGACGTAAAATTGGTTGAGCTCCTCTTGCAGCAAACAAATCTAGACCTCAATTGCGCCGACAAGCTGGGCCAGACACCTTTGGCAAAGGCTGCTGCGAAAGGCTCCTTAGACTTGATCAAAGTCCTCTTCCGACAGCCGGGGCTTCATAAGAGCCCTCAATTTACCGATGCATTTCCTCCGCTCTGGTCAGTATGTCACGCAGGACAATTTGCAGCGGTTGAATTTCTCTTGCAGAATTCAGCCGATATTAACCAAATAAGCCCATCGGGGACGTCGCCACTTGAGGTCGCAATAACTATGGAGCATGTCGACATTGTCCATCTCCTAGTCAGCTACGAAAGATCTTTGTTTATCAATGACCAAAACCATTGCTCCTCCTTTACTGCGCTAATGTTTGCGTCGGCTCTAGGCAGGGTTGAAATTGTCAAAATATTATTGGAGTATCCCAACATAAATGTGAATGCGGTGGACGACCAGGGGAGAACTTCTTTCCGGTGGGCTGCGGCTGGTGGGCATTATAAGGTTGTGCAGCTGTTGGCTAATCGGCGTGGTGTGAAAAAGCGACTGAAAAATTCGAATGGCCAAACGGCGTATGCCATCGCCAAGGAACGCAATCACGGGCATGTCACAGTTTATCTGCGAAACTTTTAGGACCTAGCTACTTTATAGAAAGGTATTTCAATTGATGCTATATCACTCTTTGAGCGTGTGCACAGCGATCGGGTTCTCCGGGTGCAATACAATACTGTAGCAGCAGATTTTTCACCGTGGCCTGTTGCCCACTGCTCGTCATTCTCTAGTGATAGCTACGAAGAACAGAGTTGAAGAGCTCATCCCTAGTCCGGGGAATCGGCAGTGCTACGGGGTTGTGCTAATGCTACCTAAGCTGGAAAGGATGCACTGCTGTATGGTAATCACCAAATTACTCCCGTGGTGCAAGTATGCGGTGCTTAAGGCACCAAAACGCTTTGGCCTTTCGTGCTGGCTTTCAGGGGACAGGTAATTATCGAACTACGCGACTACTCAATGGCTTCACGGGGTTCCAGACCGGCCTCATGGGTACGAGTTCAGATTTTCTAGATACCATGCGGTGGATAAGGCCATCGTGTAGAGGGTTCACTGTCTCAATGATATCCATCACTCTCAAGGTCCCGCTTTCCACTTCTGAATGAAAACTCCCGCTGCACAGGTGTGGTCCCACTTGAATAAAGCATCTACGATGCTGGTAGTCAGCAAGTTCCTTTTAGTTCAGAGGGAAGAACAATAACTCCATTTTTCGCTCCATCTATATATCAAGTCTGTGCACGCCCACGGCTTTGGCGATTAGAGGTCACGCGGTGCTTCTGGTGACCTCAAAGAATAAAACCGATACACCTGCACGGTTGGTCTCTCGCCAAGGATAGGCCCTGTGGGTTATAAGCTTAGAAATACCATCATCATCATTGACAAAAACGGCAACGACCATTTGCTTAGGCATTCCAGAAAACTAAACATCGCGAATCAGCAATTCTCTTCATTTTGGCTGCAGTAAAGAGTGGTTAAGAAGAGTGGTTAAGAAGAGTGGTTAAGAAGAGTGGTTAAGAAGAGTGGTTAAGAAGAGTGGTTAAGAAGAGTGGTTAAGAAGAGTGGTTAAGATGAGTGGTTAAGATGAGCTGGTTAAGAGTGATTAAGGCTTCAGCGAGCGTTGAAGGCTAATCGAGGAGCTTTTAGATGTAAATCTTGGTCATATACAGCATTTCCTCAACGCATCCGAGATCACTCTCCCATTGAACGATTTAGCAAATAAACCCCAGCGCGCACTATTTTGCGCCCTGGGCGGTCCACTTTCCAGCGATGAGAAAAGGTTGATTGCACCAGCTGGGAAATGTTGTCATTGCGAAAACCTCTGCATAAAAGTCCAAGCTGGTACGTAGAAATCTGCGGTGTGCAACTACTCTTCAATCTCACGAGCCCGGCAATAAAAATTTATAGAGCTATGAAACGAGAATACTTGCTCTCTCTTCTTTGAACTATTCGCGGATACCGATCGAAGGCGGAACAATACCCGGCACCCTCCGGTGATGATGGCAGCAACTTAGCCAAGCGCACGCATGTGAGTATGGAAACTAAGGTGCTAGCTTGCCGTGTACTGTATTGACATTCTGAAGTCATACTCTGTGCCTACTTCCGATGAACCCCGATTGAGATGATGAGATCACTGTTCAAGGGTTATAATCCCACGTTCAAGCTCCATCCTCTTAGGTGGGAGGCAGAGTCTCTCCTGCTTTTGAGCCCTACACAGCAGATATGCTACTACAATGGGAAATTGTTTGGCGGGTATATTGCCCTCTTGATGGACCGCATTCTTGCCGACAGTTGCAAATCAGCAGTCACAGCCTACTTGAACACGTCTGATCTCCACTCGGTTCCACCAACAGCTCCGATACTTCTTCGAGCATGGCCCGATCGGGTTGAAGGTCGCAAGGTTTACTTGAAGGGTTCTCTCCAGATTCCAGGAAAGGTTCCTCAAGATTGGATTGAGGCGATTACAGCGGATGCTTTGTTTATAAAGCCAAAGGATTGGGAATAAGAGACATTGCCTATGAATTAGTGCAGAACCAAATTTCCGTAAACCGTCACAATTATCCAAGTTGTTATAATGGCCAAGAAATAGATTATTCTAACGCCTATGCAGCTAGCTAGGACGGCCACGAGCACGTTCTAAGACTCCACCCTTGCAACGATTTAAATAGAAATTTCCATCGGCGACGATATCTAAAATTATATCATCTACTAGATCAAAGATATTACTACATTACTATTGTTAATACACTGTTGCGTATTCAGGTAAGCTTGAAAAAACCTTTGTCGCTAATAGATCTTTTTTCAATTCCAGGATGACCAGTTTACCTATACTGCCCTGTTCGCGCGTACATAGAAGTATTTCCACAGCCCCACTCATAATATAGCTAGTTTGCATTTAGTTTAGCCGTAGATCGAGACCAGCTAAGAGGTCCGTTTCTAGAGAGCACATTTTTATATTATAATACGGGTAAAGTCTCGAACGGTCGGTTCATTCCCCCTTCCCCGCCTTTCCGCCTTGTCCTTATTATGGAATTTGAGGTCCGGTCTGTTCATCAATTGTCGTGATATCGAGGTCCATCATAGTGAGCCATTGGACCTGTGGAACGATACATCGCCATATGCACCAACACCTGGAAACTTCGCACTCTGGTGTCCCGTCCTCGGGCATTGGGAAAGAAAGCCAAGAAAACTTCTTGTACGGCAAACTACATGTACTTCTTTCGTCAACTGACCGAATTTCGTATTACCTGGTGTCCTAGTGCTAGGATAACACATTTGCGGCCGCGATATTGCTGGTCAAATACTTGATCTCCAGACAAAAACATAGATCATTCTCTTGTTGCTGGTCCTCCTTGCTTGCAGTGCTGCGAAACTGTTGATTCTTCAAGAAGACTCAACGCAGTGTCCGCAGCTCCTCAATACATATTTTTCCCCCTCTCTTTATAGGAGCGTACGTAGTAACTGACGAGGCGCTTCCTATTCGTTCCTTGGTCCATCCCTGGGTATTTATCATCAATACCACATCCCCAGCGGCAAGACAAAACGCATTATCTTCAGACAATTGCAATAAGACTTCACTATCGAGCTGTTGCACGTCAACAACTGGGCATTTGTCTCTCAAATATTGGATGTTGTCTGCTGTAACCCTTTTGATACCATAGCCTAAGTATTCTTTTCTAGTTCGAGAAGTTGATTGATCCTCTAGCCCGAGATGCACTTCAAGCGATTCTGCGGTATAAAGATGGAAAGGTCTGTTAAATCGCACAAAATCATTGATGAGTTCTCCTTCGGTCAAGTAAACGGTCTCAACGAAAACTTCCGAATGGGACCCAGTGCTTGAATTTCGGCTGAGTGCCAATGAAGGGTCATATCTGCGCGAATCTTCCGACAGGGTACTAGACCTGTGAATCGAAGTCAATATTCCCGCTGAGTTCTCTGACAAAAGTTCCAGTAGATTCACGGTTGTTGAAGAATCCGATAAGGTAAGCAAGTTGCTTTCATTCGGAAACGGATGAACAGGCAGTTTTCTTTGAGCTAGGCCTCGTGAAATATTGTGTCGGAGACTTCCGTCCAGCCTTTGATTGAGCTTTTGCTGAAGGACTCCAAATTCCGGTAGAATCGGAAGTCTCCAGCCGGGATAAAGCCGATTATGGGCTCTGGGAGTATGCATTCGTCCGTATAGCTAAATGAAAGTGTTGCAGGGGAATAAATAAAACCGTCATTGCGTTTTTTTGAGGTTGTCGCCTACTAAACGAAATCACAAGACCATAGGAACATCGAACATCAAAGTAGACTTCCGCACAAGTCAAAATTACACATTGATACCCAAATTAGCCTTCACACCATCAACTGCATATATACAGTGCGTCCCGAAACTGGTGCAACCGCTGACACTCTTCGAACGTTTCTCCAGCCCCACCGCCAAGAGACACTAGACCATATTAAGATTAATCTAGGAATATCAATGTTCCTGTTTCAATCTCGATCATCTCAGCAGTCGGTACATCCTCCTGCTAATGACGCCATCCCCACCGGGCCCGGCTGTACTGAATCAATCATGGTTGACGGCCTGCTAGATGTCACGTTCCAGCTACTTGGATGATAAACACACCCGCATGAACTGCCTCATTCACCACCAGGTTCAATAAGAGGATGCCTTGCGATGGGTGAATATTCTTGTATTTTCCGTTGACGACGCCCTGTCACGATCATATAAATGAGGGCCGGCAAGGAATCGCCGGTGCGCACATAAGCCGGTTAACATTTTGCTGAAATTGCCCGATATTACAGGCGAGAAAGCTACGAATATTTGGTCAGGGCTGCTAGTTAATGATGAGTACAATATCTATTGGGCTTGCTTTCATTAGTACCTAGTTAAGCACGATGAGTTCATACACCTACAGTGAGATACTGTAAACTGAAATTTAGAGGTGCAAATTATATATTTTCTAGGTAGCAACACGAGTGCGGCAGATCATGATCAAAAGCAACCCCTTTCTTTGACCAAATCCATCATTGGACGCGTTGCGCCGCGTGGTTCGCCGCGCACAACAAGGAAGAATCAAGGAAGCCACATACAGACATTACAACTCGTACGGTGACTCCATTAACCCACCCCCTGGGCATGCGGACAGAAAACGAGCCCCGTCCACCATAGCACCATCCCAAATCGAAGGGTCACTCATATCTGCTGAACAAAAGGGCAGCCGCGTCGTATCATCGCATGCAAGGCCGGCAAGTTCCTTGTCACCGCCCTCCGATGAAGGATAGACACGACACATTAGAAACTGCTGGCTCCGGTATCGATCACCGTGAGAGAAGTCCCCAAATGCGAGAACCTGCAGGGCCGGCAGTCCGTCGGGGCCAAATGCCCAGTCCGCAAATGACACGAAATCCCCAGCCTCTGCAAGTGCCGCAGAGGATATAAGCACTGCCTCCTGCGAGTCTCTATACTCGAGGTGTGACCTGTCAAAGTACTCATCAACAATGGGACGGTAGTTGTGGCTATCATTGGAGATGTCCCGGTCCACGGAACTCCAGCACGAACGAGGATGCCGTGAATATCCTTTGCGCATCTCATGTAGATAAGTGGCAATCTCTCGTGGGATGTCTCGATGGATTCGCTCGAGGCCGCTGAACCGCAGATGTAGAATCTGAAGCTGGGAATGCTTGGCCGTAGGTAGAAGGCACCGACGCTGTTCTCATTAGCAGGCACTCGTTTACTGGGCCGAGAAAAGCTTACAGCCGCAGATGGTCTAGCACACAAAGCCAGAGCAAACACCTGGCCCAGGTCTACACCGGCAGACAAATTCGTAACCCAAGCGGGCGACACATCCCGATCATCCTCAAATAAGCCATCAGCATCTATTGGTGCGAGTTGGCGCTCATGGTAGATAAGGCTTTTCAACGTGGTCTGGTGGTGTCGGATGGTATCCTGGATGTGGGATTTTGACGATGGGAAATTGGACAACCTCAAATACAGATGCTGCAGCCCACGAAATGAACATAAGAACCGCACAACAGCAGAAAGGCTACATCCTTCGCCCGGTTCGTGCAGCAGATAATCGAAAGAAAATTCGAAATGCGTCAGTCGGAGCGGCTTTTGTGACCAATACAGTAATTGCACGAGATGCAGCTGATTCGGGCAGTCACGCAGCGTAAGCGACCGCAGAGAGTAGAATATCGCATTGTGTTCCGATGAGATATCCAGGGGCAAGGTCACCTTTGACAATGACAGCGTGGACAGAGCGGAAAGAGCTGTGGGATTCACAATCCCCGTATCCCCGTTCGTAGTGCCGCCGGCCCCTCTGTCCCCGTCCTCAAGCTCCGATTGCTGAAGCCCAAAACTCTGCCAGCACAGAGCACGGGCAAAAGCCGATGGAACGAAGCCGATGGACAGATGATCCAGGCAGTTCCAGTTCTGACGGATGCACCGTCGCAACAAATCAACCTCGGACGGATGTTGGAGTCCTTCCCACTCAAACGCCGTCAGACAGGTTAGTCTGGACATTCCTTCCAAGCGGTGCGACGTATCAGGGCAGGTGCCGTCAGTGACGAGTGAGAGACGAGTGAGGCCCTGTTGGTACTGACTGAGATAACCTTCCTGGTCGAGAACCCCCACTGGAACACATGTCCCCAGTCGCCATCTATTGTTAGTCAATCACAGGTTCAGGTCGATGAGTACCGCTTATACTGACTCAAATGTCCTCAGTCTATTCGGCTCCAAGTAAGTGAATATCAGCTGCAACTGATCCTTCACGTCGTCCAGGAATTGCTGATGTGCCGTCGCCTCATCCGATGCTCCTAGTGGGGCCGGGGACTCCGACAGCCCCGTCGCACGAAAGATGTTGTAGTATGCACATTGATTAAACCGAACAAGATGGAATGGAGCCCTGAACTGTAGGTGCCGCGTGTGCTGGAGATAGTCCGCGGCTCGGGAAGGACTGAGATGGCGAAAGAAGGGGTCGACATCCAAAACATTTAGTGCCCATTCACTTGCTGCACAGAATGAAACTGTACGGTATATTCGAGGAATCAACACTGCATACAATCTGGACGAGGCGCGGCTGAGAACGCGCAGAGTGGTAGCTGGCAGCTGACGGGGGGTCAGTACCTGGACCAAACAAAACAAACACGCTGAAGCTTACCCAATCTGCGATCAGCATCAGAATCTCACTCGGTAAGGTCTCTAGCATTGTCCTCTGTGCTCATTTCACTCATCCGCTCTGGACAGCAAGAGGCTTATAAGCACGCATCTATCTGAGCGCCCAGTCAAGTTGCCCAGACATTGCGCAGAGGAAAATGTCTAATATCCGTGGGTTATGCATCGCGTTGGCAAGCTATTTCATCCGGTCACTGATAAACAGGCTCAGTGCCGTTTTTGCAACCGCTCTTCACCGGCAGGCCGCCACGTCTTGTGAAGCGCGTTGTCAAGCTCAATGGTCGTTTGGCATGAGCGACAAGCAACCAACTGACCACAGCGGTGGCCATGGTATCTTCACCGAAATTGGCAACCAGAATATTGAAGAAAAGACCGAGGAGTCGCTGTTCGAGAGAAAATAATAAGAACGTTTAAAGGGGCAGAACAGGGCATGTCGGTGCACGGTTCACGCGAGGCCACGGATCAGGTGGTGGTGAAACGGTCAGTCACGGTCGAAACGGTCATATTGCGGTCGACCTGTAAAACACAACCGATTGCACAAGTTTGCACAAGGGCCAAATCCTACAAAATAGGTGAAAGTAGTAGGTCAAGCGAGACTTGCGCTGACCCGGTGTAAACATCCAACATTTCCACATCAATGGGCTTTAGGCCGTTTGCTTGGAGAGAAAATAGAAGTGGAAATCTGATCTCTTGCGTTTAGGGTGCAATCTTGGTGTCGAGTTTTCACTAAGATTGTACAAGTGTGTCACCAGGACTATGTAAGGCACCGGGTGATGAGGTTTATCTATAGTGGTCGATTGACCTGGCAAACACCACTCACGTCTACTGTCGTGCAAGAGGAATTGATTATCACCACATACAGGGTGAACGGAGATATGGTCTGCGAGACCCACATGGTACAGTAGAATTCGAAAACACTCACGCGTTCTTTCCCAGGCGCCCCACTTCGACACCACTAAGCCACATTCGGTTAGAGAAAGACCCACCATCTCTCCTTGATGTATTTCAAGTAGATCACGAAAGTTACCGTAATTACAGGTCCTTCCCCCCCCCCCCCCCTTCCGGAATTTCATACATGCCGAATCGGCCCATGGCCACTCCAGAATTCTAAAACAGATTACTGCCATTTTCGTACATCAATCGTGATGAAAAAGCCAGCAATAAATTACGTCAGGCAAACTATCAGTGAGTTCGTTAAAAGAACAGCCCATTACATCATCTTTACAAACAGCAGAGTGAGAACCTGCGATTTGGCAAGAAAATTGCCCTCTTTCTTTTCTTCAACCATGCACGAAGTCTTCATTTGAAATCATTTATACAAACTGCGCCCCTTTTATCAGTTCGAATATCGTTCCTATGCTCCGAACCGTAGAAACTCCGGTAGGAGATTGTTATTGGTTCATACCATATTTTATCTTATCGCTCATAGAGTTCACTATGTAAATGCCAGCTCACAGCTTGGAAACCCACAGGTGCCCCGCCGGTTCATAAGTCCCACATTTCCCCCCTTCTTTAGAGCACTCCGCTCTCGCCTAGGCACTTTCTCCGACCTTCGAGTTCCATGGCTCAAACAACCCAAACCCCCACAACAACATGTGCCGAGTATATCGCCCTCAGCTCCTTCTTTCACCAGGTCCCTGCTCCAGTCGTTCGAAACGCAAACAATCACTTGCCAGTCAACCAAGAATATGTTTTACCATTTTCAAAAGAGCGTGGACTAACAGAGGTTCTTGCCTTCCTGGCAAAAACGAAGGATGGGTGGGATCATATACCGGCAGTCTGCGTTAAACAAAACTCAGCTGGGACAACCTTAAACGTCATCCTAGCCATCAACAAAAGAACCTACGCTGATGGTGATGATATTCTACGAAACTTGAAATCAAGCTTTGAGGAAGTATTTCAAATACTTCATGATTCAGAATATGGTTGGTCCTTCTTGATTTGAATATAATGATAAACTTTAACAATTATCCAAAAAAACTATAGAAAAGTCCGAGTCCCAAAAGAGAGTCTTAATGTCAGTCATCTCAATGTGCTCACCACGAGTAATATGCCGGTTGCGACTCGAGCGAAGGGCAACTAAGAGGCCAATTCGAGATCTACTGAAAGACGCGATCTTTGGCATTGGACGGAATGAGGCTCAAAAGCTTCACGACAAGGATTTATCGCTCACGTCGACATTGTTCATATCAGAGGCAGACAAAGTCATACAGCTGGTTGCTCGATGGTTGAAGCACCAGACTCTGGATGAGCTGGGTGATCTTGTGGAAGGGATACACCACTTGCAACAAACAGCACCACGATTCCATGAGTTGCTAACCATAATCTCGAACAATGACAGGGATCCATCCTCAAGATCCAGTTTCCTGAACATCATCAGAAAGGTCTCAAGATACTGGGAAGCCGCTAGGAAACTGTATCGAACGGCAAAAAAAATCCCACTGGTCCGAAATATGAAAATTCAATTGGCAAACCTACCCCAAAAGGCATTTGAAGGTCGAATGCACTCCAGCAAATTTCCAGATCTATATTCAAGTTTATCCAGGCTTGGATTGGCCAAGGGGCAAAAAAGCGTTCCTATGTTATGCCGCAATTTGAAACTTGATCAAAACGCGGCCCATGCTAGGTATGAAGGAGCTAAAAAGGCTCTTTCAGCGTCAAAAATCCACGCCGAAATCCAGATTCTTGCCTTTTGCGAACTGCAAGCCCGAGGGCCGTTTCCACCTGACTGTCGACCTTCGACTACTACACCGCCCATATTCCCACATATTACCAATACAAGGAGTTTCTAAACGAGTCATCGACCTTGTTTCGTATATGTATCTCCGGTGACAGCTAGAATCTTCCATGCAAACAGAAGAAATCCCCACAATTGTCCAAGTATTACAGTCTCTTTACCGAATGGCTAGTTTTGTTCACCGAACAAATGTATATATAGCGAGGCCCGCACAAGCTAACGTGCGTTCGTCCTTCGCCGTACACTTTCGCTGTACTACGCCTTACCCTCTTTGCAGCCACTGGTAGCCTTGGATATGCAATATGACAGTAAGAAAGTCCATAGCCATCTGAACTAGGGCTTTATCCATGAATACATTGCAGGTTACCCTATCTCTTGACCTAGCAAGCATACGACCCATTCGCCTTGCACCCCCTCCGGATACACCACCGAGGTGTACTAGATGCGATTGCCTGGGCAGCGAAAAAATCACACGTACCACAAATCGCAAAGGAAACGCTGGTCGGCATTATTATAAATGCCTTCCTTGCGACAAGTTTCTTTGCTTTATTGATGACCGAGGCAATGATCCAACCAACCCATCCTGCCATTGCGAAGTATCCAGCAAGACATACTTGGCAGGCTCTGAAAAACGCGTTCCACGGGGCTTGTTTTTTGCTTGCAGGCTAGGAGCGTGCGACTTCCACCAACCCTTCAGAAATGGTCGAGGGCAGCATATTGCTGTCTCTTCCTATGACTTGGCCGACCATTTGATCAACCTTCGTCTTATTTAGTGGTTTCGGCAACAAGGTAGGAATATGCTACTGTCTTTTTTTCAATTGCAGCTTGCAGGCTATCAATGCTAAGACGTTTTCATAGCACATTCGATAAACTACCACTCGATCTTTTCACCCTAGAAGAGGTGAGCTTCATCTATTGAACTCCTTTGGTTCTGCAAGAGCAAATTCAGCATTAGAATCCCGGCCTATCTTGAACGGAAAAATGTGGTACTGATATTTTAAAGTGACATATTGTATCATGAAATTATTGAATACAAATGTTTTTAAAGATGCGCATATATGCTAGATCAATATCAGAAATGGATGCTATCATCGGAACTGAAACTTCCCTGAATATTATCAATCTTCTCCTTAGACTTCTGAAGTTTGCTCTTCAAGCTACCAAGTCGGGATTTCACTGACATGTATTGATCTATTTAATGCGCAGATAGAAGGATATTAAAAAAAGGATCAGAAACTTCGATATTTCGTATATCCTCGCTTTGCGCAAGCTGGCGACTGGTGCAAGAGATATTGTTCCTTTTGAGGGGCAGCGCGAACAATTTCCTCGAATGATTGGATTGCCCGAAGAGCAACAACCGAGACTCTCCACATGAGATGCACTTGTCCTTCGCTCCGTCCATCGATGAGCTCCCAATGAGGACGAACATTGGAGTCACCCCCAGGAGCTGATACCCTCATGAAGTTTAGTACCCCAGTCACTGTGGAGTAATCCAGCCAGAGATTTTCTTCAGGACCAGGTATACCGTAGACAACGCTATATTCTGAAGAGTACCGAATCACTCCAGCAAATACCCCGAGGGTATCTCCTTCCTGAACTGAAATTATGGGACAAACTTTGAGAAATACATCATCTTTGGGTTGAAGGGTAACAAAAATAGACTTGTTTCGCGTTGTTTCTACCTTTAGCTGCAGGTCAAAGAACCCACCGAGCGGTACAGCTGACGGCTCGTGTGATCCGCTCAGTTGGAAGACTGTTTCCTCTACGCTGGAGGACCATGGGTTGATAGCGCTGTTCCACGCAACTTCAGGAACACTTAATCTGTCCGCTATAAGCGGCTGGCTCAGCCATAGTCTTCCTGTGAGATCGCCCTTGCTCTCCTCGGCCACACGCTCTTCCAGCTGTTTGATATGGAAGCCATACTTTTCTTCCCAGTCCCGGACCATCCCTACCAAATAAGCCCCAGCTTCTGATGAGTAGCTTTTACAGAAGCGGTCGAATTCCTTTGTGCGATACAAGAGGATTTTGTAAACACCTGCGTTGCGCATCTCGAATAGTCGTTTCCAGAAAAGACGGCACTGACGTTGATTAGCGAGGCTAAGTCCATAACCCGCTTCCCTCATGAAGCGCTCGGTGGCGACCTTCTCGGCCATCATGAATTCATCAAGAGGGCCTTTGGAGATTGGCAAATCCTTTGGGTCAAGAAGCTCAGCGCCTTTCTTGATGATTCCCCAATACACGGTCTCGTTGAATCGAGACTGGATACTTTTGCTTGCCGAGAATGCATTCTCCCGCTTGATTAGTTGGACTGCATCGGGGTATTGCAACTTGACGATGTCATCCACGAAACTCTACGGATTGTTACCTGCGTAAGCCTGGACCGACGATCAGGTGACTACCATGACCGTCTATTAGAAACATTGTGCGTGGCAAGACTAGGCCTGGGTGAGATTGCTAAAGTCATTTGTTATCTTAGCTGTTGACCATAAGCGCTCAATTTTAATCCTCAGCAACGAATCCAAAGATCAGGACGCGTCCGGACTGGCAGCCAACTAACCCAGACCGTCATAGCTGAACAGACTGGGCGATACCTGAGCGTCAGAACATCAAAAGGCCAAAGCGTGTTGGTGCCTTTGGTGCCTGAGGCATGAATCGATTCGAGCCAAGGGGGTGAGTAAGCTGGCTGGTAAACATCTGGACGCATTCCGCCCTGACGGGCCACTTCCCCGCGCCAGACAGCGAACCCCCTACTATGTTGGCTTCGATTTGCATCATTCGATTATTTGCTGAATACTGATTTCAACAAGTAATGGAAGAAACAATCGCCGAGCTACGACGTCAGCTTGAGGAGGAGAGACAGGCGCGAGAAGAGGCAGAGCGGCGCCAAGGAGAGGCAGAGCTGCGAGTGCAGCCCAATACACTGCTTCGTCTTCTCGATCGCTGTCACAACTCTTTATCGCAAGCGATCCGAGTCGAGACGGATGCAACCCTCACAACTCAGGGCGATGCGACCGACCCAGTGAACAGACTTTACCCCAAGCGCATAGTCCCTTGGCTTGATTTCCCTCAGCTCCAGGAGCAAGTCTGGAGGAAATTCGACCGCACGACTACCTTTTCCTCGCGCCCCCTCTTCCCTTCTGATACCCAAATAGATTATGTCGTTACGAATATCCAGAACAGGCCGATTTATTCGGAAGCGTCCCTTCGAAATTTTGAGCGAGACACGGTGGATAATTTTGTTGAAATGGTCATCAAGGCTTTGCGAGAGGATGAAGCCTTTCGACATGAGTTTGGAATCCAAGGCCAAGTCACCTTTTATGACCGCGCGAACCCATCGGAAACTTCGCTGAAGAACAGCTTGGAGCGAATGAATCTTCAAGACATGCGAACACCCCAACGACTCGCGAACACTAGGCCTGGGAGAGGCAGAGGAATGGGAAGAGGAGCGGCACAGGGAAAAAAGAGGGATGGCACTGCACGAAGACGCAATCGTCGTGCCGACCAGTTCTGCGTGCACCTTGTGGCTGATGAACGACAAATACCAGTATATGCGGTAGAGTTCAAAGCGCCGCACAAGGTGACAATTCCCGAATTGGTGGCAGGTCTACACCAGATGGATCCAGCTCGCGATGTCATTAACCAGGAAGGCGACACGTTTGAGTTTTATGCCACCTGCCTCGTCGCCGCTGTGATCACTCAGATATTCTCATATATGATCGACAGTGGGGTTCAATACGGCTATATCTGCACGGGGGAGGCTTTTGTTTTTCTCCATATCCCGGAGGATGATCCCACAGTTGTTCAATATTTTATGTGTATCCCGAATCAGGACGTGCAGGCGGACGATGAATTGCGCCTCCACCGGACCGCCATCGGTCAGGTGCTTGCATTCACCCTTCAAGCGCTAGCCGCCGAAGCTCCGTCTCAAGAGTGGCATGACGCGGCACATGATACGCTAAAGACCTGGGAGGTCGAATACCTGGATGTGTTGAGAAAAATCCCCGAGACTCTCCGTAAATACCCTCAAGCCTCCAATTATCGACCCTCGCACTGGAAACTAGAGCCGAAGGCGCACAATACACGATCCCGTGCTCGCTGCGAACCAGACATGTCTACTCCAAAGCATTCGTCGACCGAAGGCAGCGGCAGTGATGAAGAATCGCATTCGCCATCCATCGCAGCAGCGACTCGCAGCAGGTCGAGCCGCGACCGAGACAACAACCGTCAGTCGACTAAGGAAAGCGAAAGCACACGAGCCGGTCGGGGCAACAACAAGACCTCTCGAAAAGACAGGCAATCTACACGACCCTACTGCACAATTGCCTGCATCCGCGGCATGGTCAACCGAGACCCTCTAGATAAAGAATGCCCTAACCGGAAACTCCACGGTGGACAGAGACACTCCATGGGACCGCAAGAGTTCACACGCCGGCTTCACTGTCAACTTGCCCGAAACCGAAACCATGGGTTTGAACAACTCCACGTCTGTGGCCGGACGGGTTACCTCGTCAAAGCTACCCTTCTATCACACGGATACACTGTGGTCATTAAAGCTACCACAGTGGAGAAGCAGCATCGCCTTCAAGCGGAGGCGGACAATTATCGTCACCTCAGGATCTTGCAAGGACATCAGATCCCCGCCTGTCTTGGATCCTTTCAGCCACGGGTCGCGTATTGGTACCATGGTGAATTAATGGCCGAGATGATGGTCTTGAGCTGGTCAGGAACGCGGCTTCAGCATATAATTAATGACGAGAATTCCAGTTTCTTCAACCAGGAGCGCAAGAAAGCTCTGACCGTGCTCCGGTCGCACGGAGTCGTCCACAACGACAGTGAGTGGCGCAATATGTTGTGGGATGACATCAGTGGCCAGTTAATTGTCATTGACTTGGAGGATGTGAAATTGTTGAAGCGCCGTCGGGTTCTTGAATCAACTTCTGGCAATACCTGGCGTGGTCATCGCGTCAGCGCGGGGAAAGCAAGCAAAAGCTCTTGTCTAGCTCGACAGTTCCCTACGTATGACGACCATCAGACCATAGATCACTGCGTTAGTCGACTCGGTTGACGACCGTACTGTCAGATCATGGGGCGGGAGGAATTATGTTTACATTATTGGCTTAGTTATCGCACAATGCATGATAATTATGCGTTCCTGCAACTAGCACTACCTACGCTGAACCAGTTTGCTAGAATGTCACCTCAAGAAGGTCGGGTGCTCATCATGACAAAAATTGCTTCGTCAAGGTGTTCGATATGATTTGTCGTCACGATGAGCACTCGACTTCCTTGAGGTGACATCAACGATGTGTCGGCGTCTGGTAATAAGGGATATCGAACTGATTCGGGCTGCAGACTGGCGGTCAAGAATAGGATGGGATACCTTCATAATATTTAAGGTTTCGCAAAAAAAAGCAGTCACAAGGCGGTTGTGATTTCCATGGGAGGCAATCGGACGCTCCATGAATGCATCCAAAAGTAGCACCACATCAAATTGTTTCGCGATCTTGAATATGCGCTTGAGCCTTGCCCAATGCATTAGGGACTCTGTGGTCAACATCAAGTTCCTCCGCGGAGATCTGGCTTCTCTTAGCGCGAGCATCGGCCAAACAGAACTCCAAGCTACCTACTAGCTAATACAGGTTGCAGGTTGGCAAATGTGTTCAAATTAAGGAGTGAGAGTATGGGAAGCAACTGAAAGAGTGGGGGTCTAAGATCGATGGGCTAAGATCGATGGGCCAAGAAAAAGACTGGCAGGGTAGCAAAGTACCTAAAGGGCAGGGAAAAAACCAGAAAAATAGTGAAGCGCCTCAAACATTAAACCAACATCCAATTGGCGACACAGGCTTGGTCAGTCCTATCCACACACCAAATGTCGTCGCGGTGTTATGCCGCTTTGCCTCTCCATTGCGCGGGTGCCCTCTCTTCCTAGTTCTTAACGTCCTTCTTGTACCCAGGAACCCTCTCTCTTCAGTTGGCTCCCAGCCTTTGTCTTCGCTACCCAGTTTTCAACACTAGTAACAGCGCCAAAAGGCGAGTTCTTCTGCTCCAATAGGAACGACAAAACTTCAGCCGGACTGAAAACTTGGTCTGGCACCTTGGAAGCAAAGTTGTGGGCAAGTATCTCAATCGCCTCATCGCCGCATTCATGCTTTGACTCCTTGTGGTCTGCCGTCTGCTTGAAGACCGTGTGAAATAGTTGAGTAGAAATCTTCTTATCGGCAAGCTGGAAATACACTTTCTTGTCTGCGCGGCCAGGCCGAATGAGCCTCACATTTCTGGGATCATATTCGATCCCAGAATCCATGGCATGGTTCCTAGGCACGCTCTTGGCCGCTCACAGGAGGAACGGTCATGGTCCCAGAGGACCTATAGCTCCCGGGGTGGACTGTATAGCTCCGGGGAATGAGAGGTGATACCCTGGGAGCGTTGGTTACTACTTTTGGGAGCATGGAATCTGGGATCAGATATTGTCTGGCACTGATTTAGACCTCTCTGAATTCTTAGATCAAAAAGGCGGGCCAAACGTCACCCCTGTAGGAATATAAGAGTCTTGAAACCGACGCCGAAAATGACAGCATTCGACGCTAGGGACGGCTGGCTTTCCATCCGTGAGTTGGACAGCGCGCCGCCGCTAAACCGCCCCTACCACTATTCTGCGTCCCTGTCCCAGAGGTAGTACTTTTTATCGAAGAGGAGAAGCCAATAACCTTGTTTCTTCTCTCCGCCTGTCTACCTTTCTTCTCCTACCTCATAAGTCTCGCCCCCAAATTAGGCCAGGGACCAAGGTTGATAACAAGAACAGAAAATGATGGGGAGAAAATTCAAACAATCATTTGTCTCAGACAACCGTCAATGAAACGGTCGAGTTTATTTTTCTAAAAAAAAATCTTCATTTTCTTTTAAGGGACTGTTAAAGAAGTTGGGTGTCCATTGATTATTATCGGCCAGACCACACTTTAATCACCTCATATTTTTGCTGCTCGCAAGATCCGGCTTATTATCTCCCAAGTGGAAGTCACGTTCCTATGATCATTTATGGCCACAGGATCCATAGGGATCAAACCCATACTTCCCAGAGGACCTAAAGCCCCCAGGAGTGTAGAATATAGCTTCGGGGGACGAGGAGTGGGTCCTGGGCTTTAGCGTTTAGCAAGATCGGTGCCTGTAGATCGGTGGGGTCACCCATCAGATAATATTTAAACGATAGCATGACCACACGTTTTTTCTTTTCCCCGAATCCCCGGGGATGCCTGAGTATAGGACGGTGCATGTGATCTGATGACACATAGATCGGTTGGTTCTCAGTGACCCATCGGTAATTGCGGTCCGCACATTTGATTGGCGACTGTCATGTTGGTAATACAAGGGAGGCTTTCTGAAATACGCCAGCTGATTGGACCTCGGAACACCTCTGTCATTACCATGGCACATCGGCTTTTTATCGGGCTACCAAGGCTCCGTGCGCAGGTTACAATCATTAATCAAGGAGATCTGGCCAGAGGGTAGATTAGATACATCTGTTCTTATTGCTGCTGACCTTTGTTCCATTCAGACCCATCGCTGAACCATATGCAGACAACCACTATTACAGTGCCAGCTTTGCCATCCACCACGACTTATCTCTTCTAGAAAGATGGGCTACGTCATCTAAGCCCTGAAGAACAGCACTCTTTTGAGCAGGCGTGAGATTAATAGATCCTCTGGAACACAGATCTTCTGCCAATGTCCTTGCATCGGTTGCATCACGTAGCTTCTTGGCCGGCGTGGGTCGCAAACCGCAACAATTGATCTTGAAGACGAGAAGATTAAGCTCGGAAATATAAGGCAAGGCGTTTAGTCGAGCTGCCGATATTGGTACCGCGGCGGATGGAATGTAGGGAGACTGTAAGCCATAAGTATATGTTTTGCAATGAAAACAGGTCACCGAGCCTACCTGCCAATCAGGAGTGATGTCAATTTGAATCAACTTGCCGCCCACTCCTTTGTAAAAGAATAGTTGGGCCTGTTGCTGGAACGGACTCGATGGCATAGCAAGTAGCCTGTCCTTGACTGCTTTGGGTGCTCCTTGAACAGTGATGAGGAAATCGACATCCTATTTCAAACATTATTCAGAGAATATTCAAGCAAATAAAAGACTCATGAAATCGGACCTCAGTGGTGCGATAGCGTCGGAGATAATTCCAGAGACCCAAGCCCCCGATGACAGCAATTCTGGAGTTCGAGAATTCAGGCATGGTTTTGAGGATACCAATTACTGCTCCAGCAGCGGCCTCCAGTTCAGCGAAGGACGGCGTAGACATGGTAGAGATGAACGAATGCTTTATAAGCAACTAGATGGAGACTCAAATATTTAGAAGTTATCCAGATGATCCTGATGAGCTAGCTTCGGTCTTAAGACTTAGTTTATATACACTCGCAGGGCGACGAGCCGCACATCGGTTTCTGGATCATAAACGGTCACGTGACCTACCATACCACCAACAGCGACATATTTAGCGCCGACCACCCCCTAACCCCGACAGCCACTTTCTAGCACGAAACAGAATTTGTCACAAATAGACGCCAAAGGACGACATGATGTTCCAGATCATTTCTGACCTGCACCTGGAATCTCCTGCTGCATATGACGTCTTCGAAGTCAACCCCAAGGCGCCATATTTAGCCTTACTCGGCGACATTGGCTATGTCAAAGACGAAGGCTTGTTCCACTTCCTGTACAGGCAGCTGAAAATGTTCCGCATCGTTTTTTTGGTGATGGGTAATCATGAAGCGTATCATAGCAGCTGGTCTGAGACAAAATCCGCGGTCAATAAGTTCAAAACGAGAATTGACGGCACTCGAGGATCCAGCGAGACGCTCGGCAAACTTGTCATACTCGATCAAACGCGCTACGACATTTCACCTGGGATCACCGTCCTCGGGTGTACTTTGTTCTCGCGGGTGGCCCAAGCACAAAAAGAAAGCGTTAATTTCGGTCTGAATGACTTCTATTATATTGATGATTGGACCATCGAAGCCCATCAAGATGCCCACCATGCCGATCTAGTGTGGCTGAACCAAGAAATTGAGTATATTTCGCGCTCGGAGCCTGATCGCAAGGTTGTCGTGTTTACTCATTTCTGCCCATCAACCCACGCTATGGTTGTCGATCCCAGACACAGGAACAGCAAAATCTCCTCAGCTTTCATGACTGACCTATCAAGCGAGCCTTGTTGGGAAAATGGGGTTGTCAAACTTTGGGCTTTTGGCCACACGCATTTCAATTGTGACTTCCAAGACTTGGAAACTGGGAAAACAGTGACCTCAAACCAAAGAGGGTATTACTTCGCCCAGTCTGAAGGATTTGATTGTGAGAAGACGGTTAAAATCTAGAGTTTGAGTGGCAAATTATGTTTATTTCGATTGTTCAGACCGAGAGATTGCGGTATGAGCCCGGTCTTGTTAATCATTTATCATTGGGAGGCGACGCTCTTCAATCAAGCTGATTCGGAGCTCATCCAGTATTGAATACATCTCATGATCTCCCTGTTTGAGGGCATGGTAGAACTTTCTATAACCTTGTTGAAGCTTGTTTTCATCCAAAATATCCGTACCGTCGACATACTCCAACATATAGCTCAGAATAGCCAACCAATAAGTCTCGTAAGAAGAATCGTAGTCACGGCAAAGCAACAAAATCAGGGCCTCACAATATCTCACAGCACAAGGGAGTTTCACGGTACAAGGATGCGACGAGAAGCGTCCTCGGCCACGACCTAGGGATGCCGAAGGGAGTCGATCGTCCGACGCAATCATAATATCTGGATTTTTCTCAGGCAAGTACCTTAGATCTTCAAACTCCCATAGCACATCAGATTTCCGATAAAGCGAGACCACAAGCTCATCATTAATATGCAGGTGCTTGAATGCCGGTGGGACTCGTAAAGTATCTGAGTGCGGACAGCCCGAGCTTTGGTTACAGGGTAAAAACCCAGCACTCATGAGTGAAGAGAATGCGACCTGGGTGAGATCATCCGGAATGACAAAAGCGGCTTCCTGTTAGAACCTTAGTGGATGCTCCGGCCAATTGAGACAATACTGACATCCACAATCGTTGGAACCCCATAAACAGTGAGTAGATAGTTGCCCCAGAGAAGGTTTGGGACATTTATTGAGTCAAGAAGACTAGAAATAGACGAGATAAGATCATTGCCCAACTTTTGTTCAGTGAAGTGGAAATCAGCCATCATCACCATGAAGGCTAGAGAAATAGGAGTTTGGATTTTTCTCACTTTAGCAAAGATGAGACCGTACGGAACACTTGAACACTTAAATAATGGTGCTATCAATCACATGATAGTTCTAAGGTTGCACGTGATGAGGGGTTATGTGTTGGACTTCAAAGATGGGTCAGGTGACGCGAAAAGGACCGCCCCTCACCCCTCCAATTCTATTAGTATGGACACAAGCAAAAGGCTTCGTAGGCTTATAGATGTCATGATTAAAGTGAGTCACTAACTTATAGTCTCGCAGGCATATCTTCAGCCAACAGTTTGCTAATACAAGGATCTATCCTCTTTAGTAATTTCTACCGCCTCGAGAATCGAATGATCGACACGCACAATGTCTGCAAGTGATACTTTCTCTCCCGCTGTCCTGCGTCTACAAAGCGTCGCCCTTCTCAGTAAAAACAAGGCATGGACGGAAGCGGAAAAAAATGCAGACAAAACTGCCCAAGACGCTCTGGCAAAAAAGACAAAGGCCGCTGCGTTCCAGCCCACGTTCACGGATACCAGTGCTTGCAATGAACTCATACGTGGCGTAGCACTCGACTACGAAAAAGTAGGGCCTCTGCGATTGATAACCAACCATCACTGACAATTTATGAACAGAATGCAGATAATTTTCCTGGGCGCCCACCGAAGATAGCTCGCTGCAGGCGTGGCGGACTCGTATTTCTACCTGGGTATATACCAATAGGCACCAATTTCATGATAATCGAGCCAATATTCTGCAAAGGCAAATCGACAATTGGCGGTGTTGAAGTTGATATGGAGCACTATTACGTCATTTTGAAAGAATGCGATGTCCATGTTGAGGATGATGGGAAACTGGTCGCATTGGCGATGTCGGATATTCAATGATCATGGATAGGAGCATTCGTGCTAATTAATCAATTCCTGAATTGCAAAACCATTAAAGTATGTATAGATGCTTTATTAAACCAAATTCCGCCTCCTCACAAGTGCTGCTGACCATAGTATCCATTAGACATGTCAAATTGCTGCATCAGCTGGGCAGCATTGGTGTAGTCTGCCGGGCTGAAGGTTTCTAGATGGAATTCGTGCATTAGCTGAGCAGCATTGGCACCATATGTCATCGGCTCCAATTGGAATTCATTCATCAAGTGAGCGGCATTGTTGAACATCCCGCTCAGCGCCAGTGGTTGAGTTTGGCTGGCGTCTAAGGAGACATTTGAAAGAGACACTATTGATCCCCCAGATATCGCGTGGTTCATGGGTTCAACTGCCGTAATAGGGGATTCGTATTCATGAAAAGAGTGAGCAGAGGCTTCCACATTTGCCGTACTAGAATGCGACAATCCAAGATTCGTACCATCGTGCAGACGAGGCGAGTTCATTGGACTCGGAAATTCTGTGCTATTGGGGTTTGTAGCGTGGAGACTTCCATCAACAGTCGTCTCGGCACTTTGGCCAGACGGCTGGCAAAATGTAGGCTTTGGTGAATGAAACTGACGGTTCTTTCCAGTCCGTTTCGAGGTTTTTGGGGTCCGTGTCTTCTGGGTCCGCTTCTTTTGGCCATTTTTCCGTGTCGGTTTGACCTTTTGATCGGCCTCACTCGATTTGAAGATGGATACCTGCGAATTGAACTGTTTTGTGATAAAGCTCACTATGCTGTTTGCTGCAGATGTTGTAGAATCCTCTTGTTGGAAACCAAGTGAACTGTAGTGCCCAAGGACTTTATCCACATCACTCGTTTTGTTCAGACACTTTTCATATCTTTCCAGAGGTTAACAGGTTTCTCGTAATCGCAAGAGGAGAAAAATATTAGCTCACAATTTGGATGGTAAAACGAAAAGATAGAAAATGATGCCATTGCCCGCCTTCTGTGCGTATGACTCGTAGACACCGCCAATTTTGTAGTCAGCTTTTAGCTCCCCGGCTACATCGTCGGGATCATCACGCGTATCACCGTCGTCCTCGAGTATAACATTTGCACAAAATCTTGCAATTTTGGTTGTGAACTTCTTCGATGCATGAAGCTCCATTACACTCTGTATAACGCGGTAGAGTGCCATGCAGTACAAGGCTCGACGAATGCTATCGGCAGAGGTCCGTCTTTTATTTGAATGATAAAGAGTACTAAGAACATTTCGAAAAGTCCGGTTCGTGGAGCTCGATATTTCGCCGGTCCAGAATAATTCCCCATTGTCTTTGTATAAGGGAATAACTTGCTGGAAATATTCCGGTATCTGTATGTCTTCTAAAACGACACATCGTAATCGATTTAGGGCCTCTTCACGGGATGAACAAGGAGATAATCTCTCTGAAGGTTGTTTGCCAAATGCCTCATGTAAGGGTTGACTGATATCTGTGGGAAGATGTTTTTTATTGCGAACAATAAATTTGACAACCTTTCTTCTCTGTCAGTACATTGCCCCATGCTAATTTGAGGGGTCTCCTACCTCTTGAAGGTATTCCAAGTCATTTAGCTGCCCTATTTGAAGTGATAACGCACGTTCTCGAATACGCATCAGATCCATGACGAGGTTTTGGGATGCACGAAACTTCTCGTTCGTGAGCTCTTGAGCTTAAAAGATTTAGGAAAATGAAGGATGCGGAAAAAGTGAGGGTAGTGTTGCGGTTCATCGTTTCCCCGCACCATCCCTAGCCTAAAACGAAAAAAAGTATCCCCCTGAGGGTCGGTTTTGCACGTTTGGAGTATAGCGTTTCGACCTGTACGGAACTGTATGTTGCCAAAAAAAGAAATCCATTTGCTAAACTACCAAAATATAGCGGTTGCCATAAAACTACTTCATCAACTCTCAGTCCGATGCCAGGTAAAGCAGAAAGTCATGCTAGGCCTTGAACTCCCAGAGAGGAATATTCTGTTTTGTCATCATCGTATATGACTGGTTGGTGGCTTCCCAGATTGAGTTATCCCTGTTTGGATTTTGGAGGAAGCTGCGTAGACCCCCGCTTGGGCCACCTGATGCGTCGAAATGCCAAGTGATAATACATAGCTTCTCAACAGTCGAACGGCTGAGAGTTTCCACTAGAGTCTCCGTGGTTGCAGACAGCATCGCTTCATCGATGATAAGGTTATCCTGGTGGCGACTTGCTTGCAGAGCTCTACAAGCCCCTAGAACCAGAGTAGCGTCATCGTTTAGATCTTCCCAATGTTGCGTCGAATCCACCCGCAATTCTAGTAATAGTTTGAGGGCAGATTTAGCCTGGGAGTGGAGAAAAGAAAGAGGGATAGGCTATCATGTTAGAACAATGATTTGGTAAGGGTTAGCACACTGACCATTTTTCTTCCTTAGGGTGAAAGAAGGTGCCACGGAATAAAATGATGGGATCATCATACAAGGGGAAAAAAGTGTCTTATAAGAATCATCGTTGTTTCTTTAGCTACCTGGGTTTACTCTCATGCAGCTTTTCAGCGTTGAGTCCTTTACACAATGACCTGTTTCCCACAAATCCAAATATCTTCGTGGCTTCCTAGTTGGCTTATGAGTCCAATCAAACTTCTTTTTTGTGATGATGATTTATGGGACAACCAGGCGGTACCACCGGGAATGCGACCATATGTCCATCCAAGTCACCCCCAAAATATTACAACCACTTGTTGAGCGGACGCGACGTCGCCTTATCATGGCCAGACATGTGACAGCGATTCCCTAGTAGGTTTGTGGATTTACATTGGCCCATCTGGCTCATGGTTGACTGTGATAGATAATGGAATTATCCAACTCCCCGATGTCATATTCAGTTCTAGGAGGGGGGGGATTGGACTACGTGATGGGAGTACTGCGATCCCCAAAGGTAAGATTTTCTTCTAAGGAAAAGAGATACTCTGGGATGCCGCAGGAGCTTCACACAGCGGAGCTGCCAGTAAGTTTCGCTTAATGGATTTTCTGAAGCCCTTGTTCCTTGTTCAACTAACTACTTCTTACTCAGCCGAAATCCTTAGATATTACTCGATTGACCTCGGTCAAGCGTTTCAGAGAATTTTGGGGGTCAATATATAACCACAATACAGTTGAAAGCCCAGACTTGCTATTCCTAGTGGACTACGTTCATGGATCAAGTGGAATTGTTCGTTGCGGCTCATGGGTTTCTGGGAAACCGAAGTCTGTACACCATCACTTTTTGTTGTATATGAAGATCTGCAACGCAAAGGAACTAGTGCCTTGGGACTCATTGAAGGATTGGAAAGTCAGAAAAGAAAGCATGCTTCGTATTTCTATGGGTTATAGTGCCAAAAAAGACTCATCTATTTGAACTATTTTGTCTGCTACTACTATGTTAGAAAGTACATGAGATCAATACCCGATCGTCACTCCATATACCAGTTCTATACTCGTCGCTGAAAACCACACCCTCCGGTTAAATACTCCTATTATCTGCTTTACTTCAGATCACAAGTTCTTTCCTTGGCCTGAAACCGCAAAGGTTCATAGTTGGTTTGTCGACCACCAATCAAATTGACCTTTTCGTATATGCGGACAGGCTGGCCTAGCTTGGATCTCTTACACTTGAGTTCTTCTAAATATCCGAGATCTGCGTCGTAATTTCCCAGGATTAGCATGTTGTTCCATCCCCAGGCCGCCTAACCCCTGCCTTAACCCTCGCCATGTAATAAATAGCAGGATAAGTCGGTGATGTTCTGATACACAATTTCTACCTATATAAGCTTTATGATTCCTTCTTGTTACCTGTAGCATTACGACAGCACCAATCCCTCGAAGCCTTTTGCTCCTTGACCTCATCTTTCAGAAAGCATTTGAAATCATGGCAAGGTCGACGCCGCATATACTCAACGCCATATTCCGTTTTTTGCTCCTTGCACAACTCCGGCCCTCACAATTCCGGTCTTCGGCTCTCAAATCCATATTCCGTTTCTTGCTCCTTGCACGATTCCTGTCTTCGGCTCTCACATCCTTTGCCAAACTCCTGTACTATTTTCAGGATAAATGGGGCAATATTATGACTTGGATTCTGTATCTATTCACGTACTCGGTTTCAATCAGTTCATTTGACGAGTTGCATCCGCCCTTGATGAAATGGATTTCGCAAAATTCTAGCTTGGCAAACACACGACATTCCATTACAAAAACAAGGTCGAGATGGTCAATTTGGGCACAGGATGATGCCGACTCAGAGGAGGACGCTGAAACTAGTGACTTTCAGTTCAAGAGAAACGAAAAGCTCTACTGGAAGAGACAGAAGCAAAAAGGCTTGCGGAAAATAAAATTCGAGCCAACCCGAGGAAATGTCATCAGCTTCTATTACAAAGGTTACCTAATAGGTCTTTATCGTGAGGCAAAGCCAGGGACCACTATTCTTACAGAAGAGTCCGAGATAATCTGGCTATACTCGACAAACCGGAGCATTCTTCAAACCCTTCTCAGTGATGTTCGTGACTTGCAAACATCGAAGGACCACTGGGTGCAATATTTTCGTGGCGAAACAGCGAAAGACGTTTCCTACTGGTATCTTATCGCCAAAGAGCCTCCTCGCTCTCCCTCCACCTTGGTACTGGACGGGGAAGTTCTGGCGGATATTGTGTCCGATATTAAAGAGTACCTGGATCCATCAACTGGACATTTCTATAAAAGAATCGGCAAACCTCACCGCCGTGGTTTCCTTTTACATGGTCCTCCCGGGACAGGCAAATCAAGTCTATGTGCAGTTTTGGCCGGAATGTTCTATATGAACATTTACACACTGAGTCTGAACAGTTCCAATCTCACGGAAAGTGGCCTAGTAAAGATCTTTAGAGATCTCCCTGATCACACGATGATCGTTCTCGAGGATATCGACCGGGCCTGGGCCTCCGTAGAGCAATCCAAAACAGACATTCCATCAGGTACGGGGTCACAAGCACGTACCGGTATCTCTCTCTCTGCCCTCTTGAACGTGCTCGACGGGAACGGTGCAAAGGAGAAGCGTGTTCTCTTTATGACTACCAATCATCGGGAAAATTTGGATTCTGCTCTGACACGTCCCGGCCGAATTGACCAAACCTTCTACCTTGGTTACGCAACAGCAACGATGATCAGAGAACTGTTCACCTTATTCTATGAGCCACTTGGGGTTGACAAGGACGAAATTGTAGGATTGGCAGGCAGGTTTGCGAGTGAGGTCCCAAGCGAGATCTTCACTGCGGCTGCAATCCAAAATTTTTTGCTGAAGCATAAAGATGCCCCAGAGATAGCTGTCTCTAGTGCAGCCGATTGGGTGAGGAAGTCGAGGGATGTTTTTCTCGCTCCTGTTAGTATCCTCGAAGGGATAGAATCCTAGCTTTGTCAACGAGCCGTTTCAGAGCGTCCGTCGCACTGTACGGCTTTAAGGATTGGTATATCGCTTTCCCCCATGTTAAGAAAATAGAAGAGAGATGGAAGAGACATGGAAGAGAGATCACTGGTCACGAGCATCTTCTACTGGCAATTTTATATAAAAGATGCATTTTCCGGCCCTTTAGCCAAGATTCAAAGCAGAAGAATTATACTCGCACATCGACTTTAGATTTTTACAGCTAAGTTCGACAATAACAGTCTCTAAGTATGATGTGGGGCTTAAGGATGTCACGTAGCTAATGAGAGCTGTTCCGTCCAATTGGCGATCTACCAATCGGAATACAGATCTTTCGCCAGAAGTGGGTATTCTAGCTGGGATCTTTGTTTGCTATGAATCATTTCCTACCTAGCAATCAAGAGAACTGCAAGGATGGGAAAGGAAAACAAATATACTTGGCTGGTTATGATGAACCCCTGAATCTCTGGGGTTCTCCTAGGTTTCTCATTCTTAAAGCTCACTTCTAGACGCAAACCAACCTCTCCCACCGCAAAGCGCCTGCCACTCTTCTAATCCCGCAATGTCGAATAAAAGTCTTTTGCCTCAGCTCTTACCCAAGGGAAATGGATCGAGCATACCATGTTTGAAATCGAAAAGAAACTACCGGCGAGTTTCTCAGGCCTGTACCGAGTGTCAGAAAAGAAGGTCCAAGGTGAGAAAGACTATTCCTCCATTCGAGGATAGACCT